ATTACTTACCGTGTAGTGGCGGTGTATGAATATCCACTACCCAATATTAAACCGTGGGTATCGTAAGAGGCGACAAAAAAAGAAAAAACGACTAAAAATAAAAATAAAAACTGCGCTTTCCTACCCGTTCGCCACGCGTGACAACTATGACAAATATCCCTCTTACGAGGCAATCTATGGGAGAGTCCTATGTTCAGCTGTGGTCTTTAATAGGCTGTAACGGTAACGGTATCGCTGAAACCATAGATTTAATATAAACTAATGGTTGAAACTAAGACGTTTTGATGCCAAAGTTTTAATTATTTAGGGATAATATTATTATTTACCATACTTTTGACATAAGACAGTACTTTTATGAGTAACGTTGTTGCATCATATCCATTACTTTCAAAATTGTTTGAGCGTAGTTCATCGAAAATTGAGCCTCTACTTATCTAGGTGGAGTCTTTTCAATTCTATCTAATGCGGTTTCCGTGCTGGTTATAGTACAGCCTTAGTCAAGATTACAGAGGATATTTGTTTTAGTATGGATAAACTGCACGTAACAGTGTTGACCTTACAACATTATTTTTAACAGTGTTTGAAATTCAGTGAAATTCGTCCATTTTCGTATAAAACATCTTAGACATTACAGAAAATGATTGCTTCAATGAATCCATATTATGTCACATTAAGTGGATAATGTAATAAATTGAAATTATCACAAGCATTTCTTTTGCTGGTAGGTAGTGTCACTCACATGTACATAATTTACAATAAAATTTTAAATAAATCCAATAAATACTATAATTTTAATAAAAAATATGGAATAGAACGATATAAAATATGCATTACTTTTTACGTCTACCACCACGAAAAAAAGTGTTACTTGCGTACTGTGTTTATATCGAATGAGATACCATCTGAGATACCACGGCTAAATAGCAGTGCTTGAATTGATGTATTCCGGTCTAAAGGGTATTGAGAGCCAGTCTAATTACATACTATGAGGCACATACAGGTATATGCATACATCATATACAGATGCGTGATAACCTATTATACTAATGAAATAAATTTTATGAAGCAGGCGATTATATTTAACGATATAAGCAATTTGAGCTCAGAACATGACAACGGCGAAGTTTCTGAATGGGTTCGTTGCTGTGAAACACATGGTAGAGCTACCTTGCACTCGTATTATGGCTGCGTAGAATCTTTCAGCTTGATCAGGAAAAGGACTACACATGCACGGAATTATTTCATTCATTACAGCATATCTAAAGTCCACAGTTTATGTGTACATTAGCCTATGTCATACCTTGCTTCACATGGGGGATATTTTTCATAGTTGCCACGCTAAGCAGGCGGGTTGGCAACCGCTGTTTGTTTAATTTTTTTTAGTTGTTATCTCGAAAGTGTTGCTGTCTCTCTCCTGTTTCAATTCCCTATGTCTTCTCTTACGACATCCACGGTTTGATGAGGGATAGTGGATTCCCTTACGCTGCAAATACACGGCGCCCAGAAGACAGACGTAAAAGGAGTGAGACGTAAAGTGAGTAACGAGTGATGAGAATCTTAGTTTAGGAGGGATATCTAATTTAGATGGAGAATGAAAGTGGTGTCACTATTTAAATTCTCTATCGAGATTATATATAGATGTATGTTCCGGATTGTGGCCGGTACTGAAAAACGCGTATAGCATAGCGAGTCATAGCAGTAAGAATGGTTGCAAGGCAGGATAAAGACCACAATCCCACAGGATACCATACGTAATTTATACGTGGTAGAGCCATGCTGCAGCTATATTAGTAGTATACATGTAGCACGAATGAGTCAGCTCGACCGGCGAAGGACCATGCTCTCACAGAATACCAGTGTAAAATAGCAGCATAAGGCTGCTGTGTTTTGTATGGTGTGTGTAGAGAACCGGAGACCCTTTTTTTACTGAAAACGAGACATTTCATCTTAGTCTGACAACGCATCTGCATTTTGATTCGTAATCGAGGATAGATGTATATGTCTATGGGCCACAGCAACCACTTACCATCAGGTGGACTGTGTGCTCGTTTATCACCCTTATTCTATTAAAAAACACCAGCTTGAAATAGCAACATAACACTGCTGCATTTCGAGGGTGATGAGATCGAAAATCGATCTTCAAAAATTTGATAGATCGGTCAAAAATTGATCGAGAATCGAAAAGCTTTTGTACCTCATTATCAGCATTCCATTTTAATCCTCAGGGGTGCATGCATCTGTATTTTAAATCTTAATCGATGATAGATGTGTGAATCGTAGACACAGCATCCTAATACCATCAGGCGGATTATGAACTCGTCGGTCACCTTTTATATAAATAATAATACAGGTAAGGCATACAGGTAGCAAAAAAAAATAAGTTTTTGTTCTTGTTGTATGGTGCTAAATTACGTGTAGATTAATGCAACCCAAAAATATTTTAAAAGCGTCGACTTGAACCTTTTCTAATTATGGTTTTCCTTTTAATACCAATGCTTAGTTTCATATTATGCAGTAGTCACAGATTCATAAAGAAGTTTTGTCTGGATTCTTTATTATATGTCTGTGGTATTATCCAATTCCACGAGAAAAAAAATAATGTTCTATTTACAACTCATAGACACACATGCGCCATGACCCCTAAATTTTTTTTAACCAATTGAATCCACTATCACCACTGATACTTAGATGGGACCACTCTTGAACTATAACCTTTTAAATGAAGAATCATTAAAATCGGTTTCGATTCGGTCGGTCCACGAATTTTTCTGTCACCATCGTCGCTTATTAGGAATAATGTGAAATATTTGACAGATATCATAGCGGGGGAAGTTACTTTGTTAGAATAGTGTAGAGATTAATGATTCTTTCTAAAATATTAGTTATATTTTATATTAATTAGATTAGAAATGCATAATATACTAAACTACGGATATTCCTATAAATAGAAGAATAAAACAAGGTTAAAAATTTGCAAAAAAAAAAATTCAAAACGGAGCCATTGTTTTGCGTATATGTTACGGCTAAAAGCCGAAGTGCGGTCACACCTAGTTCTATCTGGCTACAACTAGGTGCGGCCAGCAGTAGTTGGTTAAATTTAGATGTACTGTTAAATTTGTAAAAATACGGATAAACGTATCAAGTAATGTAAGTGACAGTAGGTTAAGGTTATCTGATTTATAAATTATGTATGATACATCAACCGCAATCGACTACACCTTGTATTAGCCGACTACGCCTAGGTGTATCCGCACTTCGGCTGCTAACCGAACACGAACCTAGTACTAGCCGTCTAGAACTAGGTTTAACCGCACTTCGGTTTTTAGCCGTAACATATACATTAGAATTCGAAAAACTTATAATAAAATCGCAATTTTTGACACTGTGTGATCATTTGCGCAAAAAATAAGTAAATTTTTATTCCTAACTAGCGATATCTGGTGAGCGTATAATTATTTGCCCTCATTGCGCTCATCGCATAACAAAAAAATATAGTCGACTTGAAAATCTCCTCCTTTATTAAAAACGGCTTGTCGATAATACATGTATTAAATATTATCCTATATCGTTTTTAAAAGTAAAGAAGAAATTCTCGTAAAGAAACTATAGTTTTGTGGCAATTTCTAGCTGTACCTAATTGTATAGCCCTTAACTTGCCGTCTGTATCGCGCAACGCTGTGCAATGTGGTTTAGACTATAGCCTATATGTTGCTTCACGATTATGAACTCAATTGCCCAGTGATACAGTTGAAGCAACATTTTTAGTAAGGTATTGAACAATAACATTGCAGCAGAACTGTCGCCAGCAATATTTCTGAGCTATAGTTTTCAGCAAGATTTCCAGCAAGATGCAATTATTACAGCCCGTTTACGAGCACTCTTAAGTGCATACTCTTTTTATGAAAGCAATAGAAACAAAAACGACTTCGTATTTATTTTATGATGACTATAATAATAGAACAGGAAACAACGTGTGGTTTATACTAGACGTAGCAAATTTATTTGACCATACACGGCATAACGTGAAGTCATTTTGAACAAAATTGTTTCCGTTTCACTATATACAAATATAGCATCAAATAGTACACTATTTATAATATTTTTATCATTCATTCATTCATTCATTACTGCCTATCAAAAGTCCATTGCTGAACATATATTGCCTTATAGGGAAAGCCCCTTTTACCCCTTTTATTATATAGTTTTTACGTGGTAGAGCCATGCTGCAGCTATCTTATAGTTGTAACACGTATGGGTCGGCTCGATCGGGGAAGAAACACGCTCTCGCAGAATACCATCATGAAATTGCTGTTTTGTATGGTGAGTGTAGAGAACCGGAGACCGATTTTACTGGATACGAGTGGTTCTATCTTAGTCTCACGGGTAACAACGTTAGCAGTAACAACGTCGTAGTAACAATCTGCATTTTGATTTTCAATCAAGGATAGACTTAGATGACTATGGGCCACAGTATCCACTTACCATCAGGTGGGATGTGTGCTCGCTTCTCACTCTAATTCTATAAAAAAATACATTTGCCATGCTTGGCACGCGGGTAGGCACCTTAAGTATTTTATTATTTAGAGTTCCTATCATAAATATGCTGCTGCCCATCTCCTATTTCAGTTTCCTTTTGTCGCCTCTTACGATAACTACGGAACTCTATTATGGCGTAGAGAATATTCTTCTACCGCCACTACATGGTTAAGTTTTTCTATTAAGTGTTAGGGTACTGCACCAACGTGATGATAAGCGATACGTGGAATACCCTGCCACTAGACGTCGCGTCGGCATGAGAGAATCCACTAATGCTCAATGTTTTTATCATATAAATTTAAATATAGTAACGATTTACTGGCGCAACATGGTGGTAAGTAGTCAATTTCTGCCCGTGGACAACTGCAAAATACTTCAAACAAAAAAGGATAGAGAGAGATTATTGCCCTCGAGGACTAGAATTTTCATACTTGAGAAGGTTGATGAATAAAGTAAAATACGTCAAAAAATATATTTATTTGTAATATGTATACATATTTATGAATCTATAAATTATTTATAATTTTTGAATCTCTAAATTCTTTGGTTACTAGCGACCTTTTTAAATTCTCGTGCATTGTATTGCATCTAATCCTTCACCTGCTCGTTTAGATTTACCTGAAACAATAACAAGTTTTAAGTTAATACCTTTTTCATAGTACGATCTGATACGATTGGGATGTCATGCAATAGCTTAAAACATAAAAAGAGAAACATAAATTAACAAAAACAAGAGAAATATTTGTTCGAAATAATTGTTTTTGCCTCTGGCTAACGTGTCAATTTATTAGTTTTATTTAGAAACTACCGTTGCAGTGTTTTTAATTTTCTTCTTCTCTGTCAGTCTGTGACTGTGTTCCATTACTATTTTTTCCTTTATCGTAATTTTAACTGGATATATACTTCTGATATATACATAAAAGATATATAGACAACACTACTGTCTGTCTGAAGCAAAGAGATCTTACTAATATCTTTCATAGGTTGCTCTTATGACACCGGCACACAGTAACAGCGAAATACAGTGATAAACTCTCTTACGCAGTTACTTTCTTATTTGGAAACAAGTATATTATGACTGTTATAAATTAATGTCTTACGTCGGATTGTAGTCCAGCTTGCACGCTACCATGTTCAACTTCGGGCATCATCCTTAATTGTTTACCCAACATTCCAGTCTCAAATTTGTCTGACTTGGTATCAAGTAATGTGATTGGTCGAAATGAATCGTCATCGTCATCAAAATCTTGTACTGTGGTTGTTTCTTGTGGAGACTTTGTCGCGGAAATTATTTCGGGAAATCGTGTTGTGGCATAGGATGTAGGAGAACGATTTTTTGGATTTATCAATATCCTTAAAACTGGATATGAAGCCAATAAAGGATAAGGAATGAATATATTTTGAGAACTTATGTTTAATGATGGTAAATTGTTTCTAATATTACGTAACAAGTGAAACATAGTTGTGAGTAATCTGTTATTATGTTCAATCTTTTCAAAGGCATTAAAGAAATCATCAGAATTATATCTTGAGTACTCGCTGTGTAATATTGATTTTGTTAACAGTTTATTAACTGGATATATGTTAATTTCAAAGTGTGAAATAGATTTTTTGAAGTCATTTGCCGGTTTGCTGTTAACAATCGCGAAACACATTGTTAAGTAGAAGAGCTTGATAATCATCGACATCTGTAAATAAAAAACAGTGTTCAATATTTAAATTATACTTGTTGATATTTGAGTTTATTGTAACCGAAACAATTATCAAATCGATTTACTAATTGCGCTATAAATTATAAAACGATTTTCTTTTAAAATAATTTTGTAATTGATCATGTTTAACTTGAAACCTATAAGCCGATAGATACTCAATATTACATATATAGAAGAACATGTTACGCTTAAGTAAATATATATTAATTAGTATCACCCTTATTTTAGTATTTAAATGTTATTAAGAAATTAATGTAGTAGCATCAACTGCTGTTATCTTCTGGTAAAGGCACACTGCAGTTAGATTATGATTGCAATACAAATCGGTCGGCTCTATCGGGACCACATAATTCCAGCCTAAAATGACAAATTATTGGGCATGTATTTCATATGATTGTACAGAACCAAATACCCATTTTCCTGATAACGAGACAGTCTATCTAAGTGGTCAGGGTTGACGATACAATTACATTTTGATTCTTAGTCAAAGCTAGGTATTGGTGTCCATTGGCCATAGCGTCCATCAAGTGGACTATGTACTTGTTCGTAGAATAAGGATGTTCTTCTATGAAAAAAAAAATACCGAAATTTTATGCGTTGTTTTACCGTATGCTTGGCAGTAATTGCGGTAATTATTTGTTACGTATCTGGCAATAATCACTTAAGCGGCGTGGACACCAACCACGCTGCAAGAGAGCGGGATTATATTTTATCTTCCACTATTTTAAAAGCAAAATGTGTTCTATTCCTAGATGTGGGATATATATATATTTGTGTGCGTGTGTGTTTAAATTATGATTATGACATTTAATATTGAGATACTGCTTATCTTTAATTAAGCTATCAAACGAATTTTTGTGTCTATATCCAAATATTTTACTGATAATACATATAAATGAGTACCATTAAATTTACAAAGACCTTCGTATATTTTTGTAGTAACTTACATTTTTTTCATAGTATCAATACAAATTAATTTAAATTTTATGTGTCAAAAATTGTGAGCTCAACTTGCTTTAAATGCCGTTGTTAAGTTTAACGAACTCTCTGTAAAATAGCATAAAAATAAGAAAACTTTTGGTTGAACTCGAGATCATATACCCTAACACTCAATTGCAATAATTTACGGTGCAATGGCGGTGGAAGAACATTCACTACACCATATTGTCCCGTGGGTGTCGTAAAAGGCGACAGAGAGAATCTGAAATAGGCGATGGGCAGCAGCATCTTCTAGATAGCAACTTAAAATAATAAAAATCTGCGGTTGCCAACCCGCCTGCCAATCGTGGTAGCTATGGCAAAATCTCCATTAGGCTATCATGTAGGGTAGGCCCATGTTCAGCAGTGGACTTTGATAGGTTGTAATGTATCTGAGTAATGGTTAATAGCAAAAGATGAAAGATGATGTACACATAAAAATATTTTTTATAAATTATAATATGTAATATTTTTTAAAAGGGAATATTGTATTATTTATGTATGTACGTTACATGTATAAGAAAATACGTACCTTAAAATGTGGCCTCAAATAAGTGTACATTAAATATAAAAAGATATTTTATTCAAAAATATAACACTTGAACTGTCACTTGAAACGCTTTGAAGAAACGCTACAATAATTGCACTTCCGTTACTTCATTAATGTAGTAAATCTAAGTAAACAAAATGAGATGTGCGTCTGTACACTTAAGCAATTCATACAATACTAAGACATTTGTACACTAACAATATGAGATAATAGTTTCATTCCTCGTTTTGTAAAACCAGTTTCATCATATCCAGTTAGATATACAGATTATGTGTTTAAAAAAAATTTAAATGAACAGTATTACATCAGATACTATCGGAAGTATAGATTCTGTTGTATCTTTATGTTGAAAATTTATACTGAGTTAAGAACTAATTCATAATCATATTACGAATATAAATAAAAGCTTGAAAAATGTTTGGATGTTTATTACTCGAGCCAGTATAACTGTGTAGTGTCCATTACCCCATATCACCCCGTGGGTATCCTAAGAGGCGGCAGATGGAAATTGGTGTAAGAATGGGTAGCAGCATCTTCCTGATAATAGCTGAAAAAAAATTATAAGCTACGGTTGCCAAGCCTGGCTACTATGGCAATTATATACTATAGCAAATGAGTCGGCAACCGCAATTTTTTATTTTTAATTGTTATAAGGAAGACGCTGCTGCCCATCTCCTGATCTGTATCCAACTGTCGCTTCTTACGACATCCACGTGATGATATGGGGTGGTGGATATTTTTACACCGCCATATGTTTGTTTATATGCTTGTCATGTATGTTTATACGGTTAAACGGAATTTGATGAAACTTATAAGTGGAAAACACTTTTACCATGGTGAATTGCAAGATACTCGTATCGCGAGAAAATGCATAGTTTTTTATAGTAGTTAGAGTGGCAAACGAGCACACAGTTCACCTGATGGTAAGGCGTTTCTATATACATTCGAACCATTCTTGAAATTTAATGATAGTTAATTTGTTTTTATTTAAAGGATATGCTTATAATTCACAATAAATATAAAATTTAAAATATACTGTAAGAAACTATTCCACTTCTGATGTTATTACAAATTATTCTCAAACTTATTTAAATAAAAGAATACTACTCGGTAACAAACCCTGCTTACTATCAGGACCCAGTTACATGATAACACTAAAGTATACAAACCAACAGCATCACTACCCATATTGCATTGAGACACAGGGCAGCCGCCTCTCAGCAACACGATCTTCATTGCCTACACTACTAGAATACACCAACGGACATAATAAGGACAATGAGACTCGTAGAATTACAGACGTTCAGGTTCAGGCTCCGCACTTAAGCTCTGTAGACTTCGGAGGTGTCGATTGAGTTCACTCCTGTCACTCCACTCGCTCATCTCGTGCGTACAATTTATTTGAATACATCACGCCTCGCTATACAAGCACTATGCAGTATGTGCTGTGTCTTTGGTAACTGTTTTGGTGCGCTCTCCGTGGTGCGCGAAGCACACTGTCCAGATGACAGCGGTCTCACAGTGAAGTGTAGTGAACGCTTGTTGTGGTTCAAAGTGTGTTTGTGGGTAACCCTCCTTCCTCGCTTCCTGGTACTGGTATCGGCAACCGTAAGTAGAGTGAAAAACACCAGCCAACTTAGAGGCGGCCATCGTTGTTAATTTTTGTGTTGCTTGTTGCATTAGGCAACAGCTAAGTACACACCCTAGCGTACCATCGCGCTAGGTGTATAGGTGTTCGTATTAGGCACATACCTTGGTAGCAAGCTTGGTAAACATCTGTGCTTGTAAGTATAGGCGACAAAATGGCATCGACAACAATAGAAAAACTCGCAGCCTTTTTTATTCGTGCTTGCCCCGACATTTGAGCCGTGTTCCTTGCACAGCGCAGTGCCCGTCCCGCGCCAAAGCTAAGCCAATAGGGAGCCAGACACGCTCTACCCAGCGTGTCTGGCCCCCTATTGACCGTCCAACCGTGCGGATCGACGATCCTCTGTCGCCGAGCACCGGACCTACAACCCCCGTGTCCATAGACACAATTTACGACACCTTTTAAGGTCCCCTGCTGAACGTAAGGTAAAGCCACCGCCTCCCATAATAATCCAAGACAAATCAAAATGTAGCAACCTATTATACTGGTTCGATTCCAAAAAAATCTATTGCCCAATGGTGCAAAACGCCATTCAGAGCCTTCGCATGTTTGTAAACTCGACTAAGGAATTCCGCAGTGTAACAAATCACCTGCGCGCCCAGCAAGTAAGCTTCCACACACACGCCCTGCCAGAGGAGCGTAACCTTCGTATGATCGTCCACGGTCTCCCTAAAGAGCTTGAGACTGAACACATTTTAAACGACATCAAAGCCCAAAATCTCTCGGTCCGGGAGGTGCACAGGATGCACCACCTGATAACTGATAAAAAGCGTTTCTTAGATCTGTGCCTTTTCATTCTGGACCTGTCTCCAGAAGGCAAGGATATTTTTAACGTTCGGCGCATCTGTAACCTAACGAGGATTGCAGTTGAAGCCCCCCGAAATAGGGGTATCGTTGGCCAGTGCCACCAATGCCAATTATACGGCCACTCGGCCAGATATTGTTACGCCAGGCCTAAGTGCGTTAAGTGCCTAGATGAACACGGCACCACTGACTGCCACCGCACGCCCGAGACGGTCGAACACCCGAGCTGCGTCAGTTGCCACGAAGAGGGACACCCAGCGAATTATCGCGGGTGTTCCAAAGCGCCGCGAAGGAAGCAATGCGGAGGTAGAAGTCGTCCTGGATCTCTCGCTCTCGGCTGCATGCCCACACCGTCCTCAATGCCCACTCTCTCGTCTCGGAACGCCACCAAGCCCGCCCCAGTCGCCGAGGTGACACCGCACAAGGTGCCAATCCTCCCGCGCCTTTCGCGCCGAAATCCCATGCTTAGGTAAAGACTCCAACACTAGTTATCCCACACCCAGTGCCGCCTCCCCAGGCTCAAAAGCCGAAGCCCGTCTCACAAGGCTCATCTTCTTTCAACGCTGACTTCTCGCTAGTCTGTGGCTTCATCAGCAACATTAATTTGAACATGAATTATCTTCTTTGGTCTGCAAACTCCGTGGAGCCACTACCCAACAGGATATAGTCAACGTCACGATTGAGGACATAGGACTAAACGACGCAATCTGGTCTCGAAGGATCCAGTGCGCCCAAATATCTCAATTAAAAATCAAAATGGCAGTACAAATTTTAGGCACAAAATCTCGGTAGAACTAAACCACGCTTTTTGACTATCGCGGTCTTCCTGCGTAACCACGACGTAGACATCATGCTAGTGCAAGATACCTTCTTAAAGCCTAGCCATCACGATCCCAAGATCGCAAACTACACCTTAATTAGAAATGATAGGTTGACCAGCCGTGCAGGCGACACCTTGATCTACAAAAGGTCCTTGCAATGCGTTCCGATTGACGACCCCCGTTAACTAACATAGAAGTATAAGTAGCTCTCTCTGGCCATTCGCCACTTACCATAGTTTTGGCGTATCTACCGCCGCCTAAACGCTTAATCGAATCAGACATTGCAGAATTATTAAATCTAGGCAGTGTCTTCTCTCGCCACTCATTCGCTACCAGTCAACAACCGGACATCCTTGAAGTATCATATCTAACTCTACCAAAAACCCGGTTAAAATACTACTATGCGCTGTGTATTTTCCCCCTCCAGTCACTAAACATACTTTAGACATTTTTATAGATAAAGCAAATGGTATACTGGGATCCCTAACTGATAGGGAGTGCACACTTATTGCCGGTGACTTCAATTTGAGTGGAATAACTTGGCTAGGCAATCATAGAAACGACACCTTTAATCATATGTTACCATCAGGATTTGGTGGCAGTGAACTTTTGTGTAAATTTATTGATTTTATAAGTCTCAATAACTTAAAACAATTTAACTGTGTAACAAACATAAAAAATAAAATATTGGATTTGATACTTTGCAATAAAGAAGTCTTGGATGTTGTAGAGACACAAGATCCTGTAAGAAATATTGACAAGTTTCATCCTCCACTTGTAATTAAAATGAAAATCTTATTGGAGAGCAATAGAAAAGTACGTCCTACCAAACGTAATTTTTATAAAGGTGACTATAACGCTATAAATACTTATCTAGAATCGGTGTCATGGGAGGATGAATTTAATTCCTTTAGTAATCCTAATAAAATGGTAAAAAGATTTTATGAACTGCTAAACTATGCAATTGAAAAGCATATTCCTATGACTAAATCCGTTCATGATTCTTATCCTGTGTGGTACTCTTCTCATTTAATCAATCTTTTAAGACAAAAATATAGATACCATAAAAAAATTAAAAAGTATAAAAATCCACTAGATCAAATATAATTTGAATATTTAAGAGAAAACTGTAATAAGCTGATGAAGGAGTGCTATAATAAATACATAAATGCAATAGAAACAGATATTAAAACCAACTCCAAACAGTTTTGGACACATATCAAAAATCTACGAAAGAACTGCTCATCATATCCTAATACTATGACCTTTAAGCATGATACATCATCAGATACAAAGCTAATAGCGGACATGTTTGCATCTCATTTTTCTTCAATATATGAAAGAGATCTTAACGACAATAATTCAACTAATTGTGATATGTGTATGATAAATTAATGATGTTATCGGGGAAATTCAATTTAGACCAGAGGATGTTAAAAATAAACTGAAAAAGCTGGATATCACAAAGGGGGCAGGCCCAGATAATATACATCCACTATTTTTAATAAACTGTGCAGATGCCTTGACTTTTCCACTAACTTTTCTATACAATCGATCTCTCAAAATGGGCATATTCCCCGATGAATGGAAACTAGCTAGAGTAGTACCTACATTTAAGAATGGACCAAAAGACTTAGTAGTTAACTACCGTCCAATATCTATCTTGTCAACAGTATCGAAAGTATTTGAGTCATTAGTTCACTCTGCAATTTATCGGCATACTCAAAAATACATTATCGAAAATCAGCACGGTTTTATGTCAAGAAGGTCAACCAACACTAACCTCATTCTCTTCACTTCTGATATAAAAGAAAAAGTAGATCAAGGCTTACAAGTTGACGCCATCTATACAGATTTTTCAAAAACCTTTGATAAAGTGAACCACAGCATCTTGTTTCATAAATTA